TAACTTCCTCTGTCATTTATTTGGCCTATTCTTCCAAAATGGATACGCTGCGTAATACTGGTAGGAACCTCCTGGTTACACCAGCCCACAGGGGATTATTGTGTCCGTCGTGCAGGGAGGGGCTGGGTGGGGAGGGAGGGGCTGGGTGGGGAGGAGCTGGGTGGGGAGGGGCTCGGTGGGGAAGGGCTAAGGTGGGGAGAGAGGGGCTGGGTGGGAGGGGAGGGGCTGGGCGGGGAGGGGCTGGTCACTCCGTGGTGCCCTTATAAAACTCAACGTTTAACCTACTCACGCCGGCTCGTGCCCACCCTCACAGTCGGGCATATTTGCGGAATACACCACGCTGCCGTTGACCCTGGCCATTGACCGAGCAACCCAACGTTCCTACCAGCTCCCTCTGCAGGAATGTGTTATTAACACGGTCACTTCCTTCCTTTGCATTTCATTTATGTTTCGCTCACAGACGTGGCTCGTGACCTACGGGCATAATGAGCAACGATCCCGCGTTTTTAATGTGCCCGCTGAATTTGTGTCGGACACGCTTCATTATTATGATGGAAAGTCACAGAATACCAATGTCCGAGACACAACGCCTTCCATAATTTACGAAATCTATTTTTTTAAAACACTAAAAAGTATCCACAATGACTTTTAACTAAAATCCACAATTGAATTGAATTTTTCTTCTTCATAATTTTACATCGAGTACATCCGTTGAAATATCACAACAGCAGGAAAGCAATAATAAACCTTCACACTCATTTTCGCAAAATGTGCTGCGAAGTTTTGTATGTGGCTGGAGCGATGGCGCAGTGGTTCGAGCAGGGCACTGCGTTGTGACCTCACCTGACCTGTTGTTCAACTTTGTTTTGGAGTTTGTGTTTTGTCTTCCATCAGGACTCTGCTCTCAGCCAGGCCTCCCTTGAAAATTAGAGTTTTGGTCTTAAAGAGCTCTCACATGTTACAATTAACGTATTACTCTGAATAATTCTATGATAAATCATAATTCTAATTCTTCCAAGACGTCTGGCCAGGGTTAGTCGACAAAAACACCCTCTCGATCTCAGTGTTCTTCATTGCAAGGCTCGCGGGCCACTGGCGGCCCCTGGTGGCCTTTAGTGCGGCCCCCGACAGTACACAACAACAACAACACGTGACATCAACACGTGACAACACCCGCATCGTGCTGCTGTCAAACACCCAATAGTCTTTAATGTGTGGCGGCCCTCACGCCAGAGGTCGCAAACGGGTTTTGATTTTTTTCCCGTACCCGGCCGCACCAGGGTCGCAAATGGGTACCGTTCCCTACCCGTTCCCTACCCGTACCCTACCCGAAATGAGTGACAAACGGTTACTCACCGGTGACTCACGGCCTACCCGTACCCGGCCGCACCAGGGTCGAAAACGTCTACCCGTACCCGTACCCGGCCGGGTACGGGTAGCCGGGTATCGGGTAGGGTACGGGTATCGGGTACCCGGTTGCGACCTCTGCCCCACGCTGATGATGTCTCATAGGCGACAGTGGCCGCCCTCTGAAATGCACTGAAGAAGACTGCTCTGGAAGGTCTCTCTTTTACTATTATGGTAGCACTGCAACTACAAAAGGAGTTCTGCGTTCGTAGAAAACGTACATATCAGTGCCAACAAACCAATTCGGACCTTATTGGTCACCACATGCCCTTATACATTTCAACGTCCATCCTACAAAGTTCCATCACAAGGGAGACACACAAACGAATAGACATCTATATATTTTTTGCCCGTATTGAAACGGCTGTAAGCCGTATGGACCCGAAACCTCAATTTCCCTGTCCAAGAATATGGAGTAAACCGTATGGGTTGACAGGTATGAGATTAACAATGTAGAAGGGAGCATACACACAGTGGCTATAGCGCGCTGCGTGTGAACCCAATGAATCGGTGGCGAGTGATGGTGTATGTGAACCTGTCCTGGGCCACCCACTTCAACTAAGCCAGCGTCTTCAAGTAGAGGCGTACCTCGCTTTGTTGCACTTCGCTATAATTGCACTTTTTTAATGTCGGATCTCAAGCTACATGTCGCATCTCAAGGTTCTAAACTTGGCAAGAGAATAAGATTCGATGAATTATTACATCATTTACAATTTGATTGGCTTATCATCATCATCTGTAACTCCCGCTTTTTGCATGTGAACTTAGTGAGTCAGTCGGTGTCATTTTAACTATTATATATAGTGTAGTTTAAACATGTTTTAAGGCTTTTATATGCATTCGCAAGTGAAAAAAAAAGCATGTGACTCGCTCTATTGCTATTTTCAGTTTATTGTGGTGCTCTGGTCCTATAAAGAGCAATTCTACCGAGGTAGGCCTGTATGGTCAATCATCCATGGTGACCAACCCTGGATTGGGAAGGGATGGGGTTTCATTCCAGCAATGGCATTGACATAAACAGCTGTTATTTAACGTTCTAATGTAGTGCAGTGTTCTTCACTCATTTTCAGACGAAGGCCACTTTCACCCATAAGACATCAGTGTGATGGCCGCGACCGCCTGCAAGACAAAATCATGCAATGGTCAATGCAGTTATGTTATATTGCAGCTAGGTTAACTAAAAAGAAGTCTGCACGTGCAATGCAACAACGTAGGCTTAATCATTAGAAACCAACAATATAATATGAAGCCACTTACTTGGGGTACACAATTTCCAATCAAAATAATGCAGATAATATTACAATAATACGAACAACAATACTGCCACCTACTCATGTAGTTATGTTACTTTGATTTATTTCATTTATTCGAAACCATTGGGTTTGTGATAGCACGATGATCTGGGGGATGTTTTCACTCGATGTGTATTGTCGAGAGACGCACGCCATGGTCTGCACTCAAGTCCACCAGGGGGCGGTCAGTGGCCCGCCGGCCCTGCAGTTAGGAACGCTGCTCCCGTGCGTTTGTCGGATGCGCTGCATTGCAGAGTGCGTGCGAAGTGCGCCATCTCTTGGCGCGGCAAATTCACGTGCGCGTTTGCGGCACGGCGAGAGTTTTAAGCGAAACAAAGTATACATGGGATTAGGCATTTGATGTGCCATCAGCCCGTTTTAATTAGCAACCAGCAATGAAGAAGAACGTATATCGAATGGTTTAACAAACATTTAAGGCTTGGAGCTTTTAGAAAATTACTGCATACGGAATCTCCTTCAAACAATAATGTTCTATATCAGAGTGGTAATGAAAATTAGGACATTCAGCCTTTAGTAGATATGCCATCAATCTGCCTACTATTCTATCTATTTATCCAGCGTCATTCCAGTAACTCTGGGTCGATGGCCATGACAGGCTTTCTGTCTTCCGCGATATTCAGCATCTTCATAATCTAGTCCGTCTCACATCGTTCCACAACCGTCTCACAACTCTCCCACAAATCGTTTCACACTCTCCCACCAACTGACCTTTTCCATCTTCTTCCCGTCTTCTCTTTCACTTTCCCCTGCCCAATGCACATGCAGTTATATACAGTACTTAACAATACACTCCGGTGATATCTATGGGACACCTTTGAGGCAGTATCAAAATGATGAAAACTATAAGAACAGGCTTTACACACTGGTTACTTACTTAACAATATGGAACCATCATGAAACCCTCACATTAATCGTGAAAACATTAAGGTTACACAGATCAAGCAACCGAGTAACTCAGGCGTTAAAGCGGCTGAGCAGTCACCACTGAGATCCTGGTTTTGAATACAGATTAAGGCGGTATTTGAATTAATTGCCTTCTCAAGCGGAGTGAATCGGTGCTCACTGCTCAGTCAACCTATGACTGCACCAATGATACATTTTGTGAACATTTGTTTTTACACATTTCATGTTGCTGAAATCGTTTTTTAGAATATGCAAAAAAATATCAGTTTGACTGTGATGCATATGTCCTTGTCGCTAGGTATGGAGGTGAGTACGTACCAAGTGGGGATAGATTATTTGGCGATGATGCATTGGCAGTGGGTGCGCAAGAACAATTTACGACAAAAAACTTCAACACATTTGTCAATACCACTGCCTTAAAATAAACAATAAAAAATAATATATAACGTTACAGGCAATGGGCCTTTTTCATTGCACATTCGTAGCATAATAGAATAGGTTTTCTGGCAACAGGTGTTAGGATGTGTTAAGATGTTAAAACACCAAACTGAAACCTTTACAAGGAATCATGTCTGCATTAACCACAATACTTTTGGTCAGAATGCAAACAAAAAAGGTACTTTGATAATATATGCATTGTCATTGAAACTGATTGGTCCGCACCAGAGACAACTTTCTTTTGAGCCTAGTCTCAAAAGGGTGTTAGACCAGAGGACGTCAAAAGGCGTACAGCACAAAGACAATGCACAATCAGAGTAATGAGGGCTCGGGGTGAGAAACTACATCATGGGACCTTCTTTGCCAGTACCATCTTAACACCTGTTTTGTTGCCAGAAAAAGGGGAAAACCTATTCTCATATTTTGGTACTGGCAAATGAGGTCCCATGATTCATAGCACATGTTGGGTTTTTAGTGTGAATAAGGAGCTTCCATACCTGTCAACCTCTTATTAGCGCCTACCTTATTACACACAAATTTAGACCTTATTGGTCACACCGTGCCCTTAAAATCTCAACGTTTATCCTACAAAGTCCCATCACAAGGGAGAAACACAAACATATAGACTTTTTTTGGCCCGTATTGAAACGGCTGTATGCCGTATGGACCTGAAAACTCAATTTCCCTGTACAAGAACACGCGTAAACCGTGTGGGTTGACAGGTATGAGCTTCACATGAAAGGGTCTCAGAAGTAGTTCTGTGAGATATCATTCTGCAGGGAATCTTCTCACACCACGGGCTGATAACTGCTTTGTGATAGTTCTGAATGCATCTCTCGTTCATAACGTTACGCCACTTGCACGACAGGAATACAAATGATCAACGTTTATTGAGTAAATGATGAATACATGGTGAAGTTGCAATGTTGATGTAGTTTTAAATGCGTGTGGATACAAGCCTGTTTAAAGCGAGCTCATTCTCAATTTTAAACAATAAAAAAAGGAAACATTGCTTCAACCTAAATGTACTAATTATACGAGGTGTATCATAATAAAAAAATGAAACATTGCTTCAACCTAAATGTACTAATTATACGAGATGTATCATGTCAGCATTGGTGGCAGTGCATGAAGCAGATGACCCTGCCCCAATTTTTGTACAGCTAAGGCCAGGCCACTTTAAAAAATGTTTCGAGACAATGCGTTTAAAAATCCCCAGCGCTCAGCTAACATTGCTATTGTGCTCGCCCTGCAGTACTCAACAGTGGGATTACTTTGAGAAGCCATACTAATGAAATCCATTTTGTAAACTGTATTCTTAGAAGCCAGCCTACAGACCATTGTCGCAAATCGGTCTAGTCTCCAGTGATACAGCACCCTTACACCCCATCTCAGGCTTGCCACCACCTTGGCGACCTTACATCCGGTGCAGACACAGCAACGTCTCTGCACCTGCTGCGACACGTGACCTCGCATGGGTTAAAATGTCCTTTCTGTCATCTCTGTGTGTGGGCGGCGCGCTTTGAGAAAAAAAAACCACAAACTCTTTTTTTATTCAAGCAAGTAAGGCCCACTGAACTATATAGCTCTTTTTGTTCAGAAGTGACCATGCCACAGATGATAGCTCAACGACGTGGCTTATCATGTGGACGTTTATATCAGCCGAATACTCTAAACGCACTTCGATTCTAATTGTAGAGGGGAAAAAGCGGAGGACCCTAATAAAAATCCACACGACCACGGGGAGAACGTGCAAACTCCAAAGATACAGGCGTCAGGGCCAGGGGATCGACCCCACGACCTTCTGTGTACAAGGCGAGGTAGTTAACATCGTGATGCCAAATCCGCGTCATCGACAAATGGGCTTGGTGCCCAGACACGGCCCCGTGAAGTCCACGAAGCGACTGTTGAAGGGCGCGTGCGTGAAGCAGGCGGATGCCCTCCGATCGCACTCGCAGATCTTCCTCTCACACCAGTCGTTCTTTGCGTCTGTGGAGGGGTTTGGTGGGAATGAAAGTTATCATTTGGGATGGTGGCGAGCACCGATTAATGAACAGCTTTAACGCTTTGATCGACGGAGTTTTTTTGCGTGGTTGATTATGTACGTATGATATGTTGAACTTCTTTCGCACCGTACGTAGCCAGCCGTGCTAATCGGAGGTGCGGAGGAAGGATTACTTGGGTCCCTTAAGATGTATGTCCGATCCAATAGCCTCGCTATTGAAGGCTGGGGACCCCTTACAAGCCACGCCGGCGTGACACGGCTAATGATGCCGTTCCCGTCACCAAGTCTCGTCCATCACCCCCCGTCCAGCGGCGCACGTGGGAACAGAGGTCAACTATTTTTTTTTTGCCCAAAAAAAATGTCTTGTTATCGAAGCAATATATAATCGGTAGAGTAATTGTCTGCTCTACGCCACTTTTATTTCCGAACGTTTCAGCTTTTCGATCCCACTTTATTTCGCCAATGGGCCATCTTTCTGATCCGTATGTCCAACGGGCGTTCGTTTCTGGGTTGACTTCAGAGTCTCGCTGAGACGGCACTTGCCCATTACCGCACGTGATGCGTCCGTGTTTACAGGTGTAGTGGTAAATGTCGCTGTAAGGGTTGCAGCCCGCCGTGATCGCCCGGTTGTAGCAGCAGTCATGAGAGCGACAGCAGCTGTTGAGATCAAAAGAGACACAAAGTCGGCGTAGCGCTCGATGCCTGAATACGTGCGCGCATAACGGTCAAAGAATCACAACAGTTTGAGCGCACAACAACCACTTTAATGCCGCGAAATAAAGCCACGTCGGTCTGCCGCTAGGGTCCCGACTGACTCGGCAGGCAATTTCAGAAGAGACTCGGCGACCGCTTCGGTGAACAACAAGAGCCTCATGGCCGAGCCGCCGGTCAAGCCTCCTGTCTTCTTAGAAATGCGTCGGCCACGGTGGACTTCACGCGGAATCTGCGGCGGATTACACCGCTTGCAACATTGTTGGCATTCGCCTTGATTGTTGCAACGCCATCCTTAGTCGGCGAACAACAAAACAACTCCTTCAACAGGCTTCAGCAGCAGCAAAAGAACCTGTCACGCACTGGTCCTTGGCATCAGGCGCAGCCATATGGTTCCAATGTCTTCGCTAAAAAAACCCAATGCACCGGACTCCCCGTCACATCAAGGATAAAGTACAAAACAAAATCGTTATCCTGTGCTCACCGAATTCTTTTTCAAGATCTCCCGCCATATCTCTCCACCCTTTTCACTCCACTGACCACAGCAAACCGCTAAGACTTATGGAGTACATCCAGAAACATTCTAATTGTCACCAGAATCAAGGACTGCACTGGCTGAGCAGCGTTTCCCTCATAGGCGCACCGATCATCTGTAAATCTCGCCCACTGCACATGCCTGTCATGCAATGGCCATCTATCTTCAAGCAGCAGTTCAAGGGTCTCACCTGTTCAGGCTCTCAGCTGCTCACGCTAGCATATGAGGTTCTTTTAGCTCTCGATACGTGCCTCCGATTCGATAAATATGCTTGCATTTCTAAATAGAATTAATGAAATAATAAAAATAAAACATAATAAAATAATTCTCACGACGTTTCGGCCACAACGACTTTACCGAAAGAACCAAGAAGATGAATCCCTGCAGTCACGAAAGCTTTAAATCGAAATTTCTAAGTATAGTTTAATACTGCAGACAATCATCTGACCCATAGGTGGCAGACATCTCAAGCCAGAGGACGAGAGGACTCTAGCCGCCACGCATATAAAGGATTTAGAGTGAAAAACTTTGTTTTTACGGGTTATACTTATTTTATTTTACTTTTATTAATTAAAAATTTTTACCTACGTGACTTAACCGAAAAAAACCTAAGAATATGGGTCCAATATCGCTTAAGGAATGCTATGCAAATGCCACTGACCTCTGAGTCACCTGCTAACCACTTTGTTGGGAATTGTTGAGTGCGCCTTTGAGGATGCACGTTGCACAGGTAATCCTTGACGCGGTCGTATTCACACACATCGCGCAGAAAATGAATTCGTGGATATTGTGTGTTATTCCGTCATTCTTACCGGTCTGTGGGGTCTACTGGCGCCCCCTTGCCTCCAAAGCCACAGTGACAGCCATAGCCGTAATAGTCCAAAGGCTGACGATTCATCCGGCACTCGATCATGTTACCAAACTGCACAACGTTCCGCCTGTACCGCAGTCTGTTTGAGTCCGTGCACTCTGTAGCGCTGAGAAGGACTGAGAAACATGGACAAAGTAACGTGACTTCATGAATAATGAGTCTTGCCGAGTCAAAGGGTGTCTATGCTGTAATGAGCATTGGGGTCACTATCATATCCATTTGTGAGGCTTGCCTCTCATTCGGAGGAAGTCTATTCACAATACCAGTAAGTGGTATTAATTTAATTAAACCTGGCCAGATGATGGGATAAGATGACCTTCTGCCCGGATTTGAACTTGCATCCTTTTGATTGTAAGTTGAACACTAACCCGAGTACGACTTCGCTGAATACTAATAATATACGTATACATTGTAATTTGTAAATCATTTAATTGCAGCCGCATGTGAAGAGACTTTAATAAAAAAAAAAGCAATGCATGAGTAATACGACTGGGAAAGACGAGGTATTTCTAAAAATAGGTTTATCAAAGAGAGGCTGGCTGAATCTCAAAATCGTGTTCATGTCTAGTCCTGCTTGGAATGTTTGGCTGGTTGCTTAAGTATTTCAACATGTGGGAGGAAAAACCAGCACACCCTGAGAAAACCCCATGCATTTGTGAGCAGATGACACTAAAAAGAATCCATATTGATAGGCCAGACATCAACTTAATCTACACATTGCTGGTAGCCATGTCATAGGTCTGCATGATGGAAGTATTGCACACAGGATCATCCACCAACAATCCACCAACTCGCACTTACATGCAATGGCTTTCAGGCATCTGCCACCATGTCCAATAAGGTCATACAAAGGTCACAAACAAAAACACTTCCAGTAGTTCTTTACGTAATTAATCATACTTAGGTCTTTAGGGGTTTTAATTTTCATTGACTGGAATAAACAAGGAGTACATACTAATATTCTTGATTTTTTCGGTAAAGTCACGTAGAAGGGAAATAATAAAATAATAAAAATAAAACATGATAAAATAATGACTTTATTATTTCGCTTTTACGTGACTTTACCGAAAGAACCAAGAAGATGAATCCCTGCAGTCACGAAAGCTTTAAATCGAAAGAGTACATACTCTTTGGTTCTTTCGGTAAAGTCACGTAGGTATAAAATAAAATAAGGAGTACGTTCAGTAAACATTTATCATATTGTGATCATTGTAATTGTTATCTCTCTTTATCAATCAACTATCGAATTAAGGCTATTGCCCAAAATCTAGTCGTTGGATTTAAATGGGATTCTAAACACATAACAGAAGTTCACAAACACTGGAAAGAGGAGAAATTTCTACAACAAATTAAAATATTTATCTTAAAATTTGGATATGAAAAGGGCAAATTGTGTTTGGACACAAAGATTGTCGAGAAACTGACCCAAAATATTTCATTCATACACCTACTATTCGCCAAGTTAAGACTAAATTAGAGACATTATTTAAAAATGCGTTCCGAATGACATAAGCTAAGTGGCTTAAAAATACAATAGTCTCAATTGTAGTTTAGCGTTTCAATGTGTCTTTCTTCTTCTCTTCATTTTATCGTGTATATTGCCGCGAGTATTGTTTGAAACCAAGTATTTGATCTGGTATTTACTGAGTAATTATTTAAAATGCCCATTTTTTTCAGCACCCGGAGATATACTGCATGAAAAGCATCATATGAATAATACAACATGATAATGATGACGAATGCCATAATTTCTTTGTTCCATCTCCAATTTCAAAGTCCACTTACGGGTGCTTTTTTTTTATTCTCTCTCGGCTGCAAATCCATCTTTGACTTTGCCAACCAGATGGGCTCTTTCTTTTTAAAGCGACCAGACTAGTGACCTTTTCTGAAGGTGGCCATGAGGTGGCAATTAAGCCAATGGATAATTAAATCTATCTGTGTGAAGATAATGACAAACATCTCAATGCAGGACGATCCAGGGAGACAAAAACGCTTGATACTTTCCTGGATAAATGTTTATTTTATTTTCTTACGAAGTCTGAGTATAATAGTGCCACTTCCTACTCAATTTCCACGTGGTTTTTTTTATCGGTTATTGTCATGTTATTCGCCTTTGACACCCAAATATTTCCCTCCTCACTCCTTTGTGCGGTGTTGAGGTTTTGCGCTCTATTTGTTCTTCATTGGCAAGCGAGCAAGCTTTTCGTGGGCAGCGTTTTTACAACATACACTGTACACATGTCGACTGAAAAACAATACTGTGAATGTAGCAGTATTTTCGCTGAGGAAACAATGGTGCAAGAATCTTACATACTCCCGCCTCTGTCAACACGGCAGTATAAATGAGTTGCACAGCAGTTAGTCGAACAGTGGGTCGCGTGGTGGGGTAAAGTGTGGGTACTCCTACCTCTTCCAAGACGGCTAGCCAGTGTGGAAGGCTAAGACAAAAAAATATCCTCGGTAAGGGCTGTCTAGAGCTCCCACTGGTTAAGGCACCTTCTGCCAGTAGTGTCGTGAGAAAAGTAATTGCAGGAGCTGCACCTTTGCCACTTTACTGTAGGTATGCAGACCATGTACACAACTAACATTGACCCATATAGTCTTAAAACGGCACTTTTTGTGCGTATATATACTGCCCCATAAACAATTGCATGGTGAGGTGTATCAGCATACCATGTGTAGTATTTAATATACTGACAATTTATTGTCTCTTTAAAATGCCTTCAGCTGCATTGCGTTCTTAATGTCAGTAACTCACGCCGTTATAACAGAGTCGTACCAAGTTGCATCTCTGGCTGCAAAAGGAGCTAATAAAAATCCAGTGCACATCATAAAGCACAGACACACACACACACGCACAATGTTTAGCGATAACTTTACAATACGACACCCTCCGTTTAAAACGTAGTGCTGCACATTGCTTCACGTTATTCTCCGACACGTTTACGATCGCGTTCGCGTGGGTCAGAAATTGCCTTACCTCCGAACAAGCAAGCTGCAGTCCACAATGCACGATCCATAGCTTCTGGTCGATTTCGACAAAAACCCACCAAAACACAACCGTTCCCTCGAAAGTCCAATAAAACTGGCGCTTAGATTTCAGTTCACGCGCGCGCAGCGTACTAGCCTCCCGGCTCGAGTAGGGGCAATTGCTTCACTGGGTGGATATTTCTGACATCAGGTATATATAAGAAAATAAATCTGAATACAAGTCTGGCTGTTACTTTGTTGTCGTGCAGAGCATACGGGACATTTTAGTTTTTCCGAGTGGGCACTGTTGAGTTAAATTGGTGACTTTTGGGGAAATAGCCACATTAATGTTAATGGCTTTGCCAGAAATGTCAGCTCCCAATAAAACCCAGACTTTGCGATTGTTGTGCCTCCAGCCTAAACTTTTAATTTTAAACAGGCCCCTTGGCATGTGCGCCTGTGAGTGGCTGTGTGTTTGTGTGCACTCGTGTGTTACAATGTGATGGTCTGGATATTTTTAAGTTTGGTTTTCACGAAAAATATAATTCGTGGAATCAAGAAAATTCACTGAATGATGATGTACGTGTTTTAAGCGGATTACAGTGCAAGTGAACTTACGCGAACGTTCATGATGCTACGCCAACATGTGAGTATGTGTGTGTTTGTATGTGCTTAGTTTTTTTCTCGTTACACTAAAGCAATCCTTTTATGGATCTGTTAGTGCCTTGTTTATCTCTGAATATGAACACACGTATGTTTTTATTGACTTACAACGCAAGTGAATTAGGTTAACATGTGTAAAGTTACTCCAAGCTAACACTTGTAAAATTGTGCTGTTGTCTGTCTGTATGTGCTTTGTATTGGTCTTAAAAATATTTTGTATGCATCTGTTGGTGCTTTATGTGTGTAAGACATTCAATGCCACATGCAGAGACTTGCCGAAAACTGTTTAAGGGTGGGAGACCTGGCATGAAAGATGAGCCGTTTATGAATCAAACACTCACTCACCACTACAGTCCAATGATTTATTACTGGAAATAAAAATCCATTAAGTGTATTGTCAGTGAATGTTAATGACTTTTTGAGAAATGCAAGATGAAAATACTTTTCTGCCATCGTCATTAACAATGCCGTCTCTTCAGAAAAGATGGACACTTGGACAAAATACCAGCTTGTTTTATATTTTACACACTGTGTCAGTTGTGAGGCAATGTGCATAGCATTCTGTTGAATTATTTTATGTCTGTGATATTTACATTTGACAACATGCTTCTTAGAAAAGAATTTGTCATCAGTCACAAATGGATAAAAAATATTAACAAATAAAAAACTTTCATAAAGAATAACATAATTATGTACAGTCTTGTTTCACCCTCACAATACATTTGATAATTGTATAATCCCCACTTCATCATGAAAACATGCATTTGTATGGTTTTCATTCATTCCATATGGGCATGTGAGCGAGGTTTGGCTCTGAACCATAACTCTAAATGTACTATGGCGCAAGGCCCAGCTCTACAGATGGCTCCCACTGGAACAGTTAAGACTTTTCCCTTCCCGCTCACCCTGGTTATGAGCCAATGCATGACCTTACCGTGGCTCGAGTGAGCCCTGCCTGCAATTTGGCCCGTAACTATGGTAGGCAGATGTTTGTGTTTCTCATCATGTTAGTGGGAAGACATTGCTCAGAGACTCAGGTGGAAGGTAAAGGTGCATCCTTGTGGCTTGCCTTCAAAAGTCACTGCTGGCAGACGGCCATCTACTCGAGGATATTTGGGCCTACCCTTTCATGCTTGCCAGACATCTTGGAATAGGTAGGCGTACCTACAATTTACCTGACCACACACCACTTCCCGAACAACTAATTGAGGTGGTACCCATTTATACTGCTGGGTGGACAGAGGCGCGGACTTAAGAAACATCCCCATTGTTTCAATTGCCACCACCTCTGCATTGCAAGCCCAAAGTGCAAACCATTGCACCATGGCACAATCCATTAATTTGTAAAGAGGGCCCGAAATATTGTTCTGGTTTGGTGCCCAGTGTGCCATAAATGCATATTCTGGGTTGTATTATTTCCAGGTGTAAACACTATTATCGCCATAAATGTGTAACGTTGCCTACATTTTGCTATGTACAAACAGTCAGAGGAAACGTTGACAATCATGTATATTTTGTACCCAGAATGGATAATATAATTTCAAAGAATATATTACTTCACAATTGTAACAATCGGTAACTTGTTTTTAACACTCTTATACTTATTTATCCTATAACTTTCTATACAGCTCTCACAACATTGCTACTCCCTTCCTCTCCAGGCTTAACTGCGCCCAATATATATTTCACTCCTTTGTATATCGACTCTCCTACTCCCTAAATTGCCCCAACTGACGGCTTCGGGCTGCCCGTTAACTGCCCCAACTGACAGCATCGTGGCTGCCCGTTAACTGCCCCAACTGACAGCCTTGTGGCTGCCCGTTAACTGCCCCAACTGACAGCTTCGTGGCTGCCCGTTAACTGCCCCAACTGACAGCTTCGTGGCTGCCCGTTAACTGCCCCAACTGACAGCTTCGTGGCTGCCCGTTAACTGCCCCAACTGACAGCTTCATGGCTGCCCGTCAACTGCTCCAACTGACAGCCTCGCGGCTGCCCGTTGACTGCTCCAACTGACAGCCTCGCGGCTGCCCGTTAACTGCCCCAACTGACAGCCTCGCGGCTGCCCGTTAACTGCCCCAAACTCCACCTCACACCCACGAGCTGCAGGAGCGGGTGGCTCCGTCCACTCAGTGGCGCCGACAACGCTCACGCTCAGCACCACCAGTGGGTAGTCCCAACCCGGAGCTCCCCGCCGTGATGCCACCTCCCCCCATCAGCATACAGCCCCTCAACTTCTTTATACACAAGGATGGTCTTCACTACATATGCCCACAGTGGAGATTTCCCTGCTTTTTTAAATCCTTTATATTAAGTTCGCATGCTTGCTTTCTTGCTTGCGTGCTTGCGTGCTTGCTTGCTTACGACCGTGCAAATCTTTCGGTCGTTTTTTAACCCACTTCCCGTGATCCAATCGCAGCTGACATTTTCCACACAGACTCGTTGTGCCAGACAATTATTGTTCGTGAAAAAAAGTTCCCAAAATGTTACACTTTTTAGGCAAAAAAAAATATTTTACATATATTCAAAAGAACTCATTCTTGGCTCTGGCTGAACGTCACAGTGTAAGAGCCCAGAGCGTAACCCAGTGGCGGCTCCTGCAAAATCTCTCAGGGGGGCAAATGTCTGGATGATTGATAAGGATAAGGTCCACCCATGCAATTGATAAATTAACAGCTTAAGCATGTAAAGGCAACTTCACTTCTTTAATATTAATGAAAAATAAAGTGACTCTTACAATACATCTTGTTTGTTTCTATACTCACTATTAAAACAAACCACTCAAGTTTATTTTATTAAAGATTCCACTAGATTTTGATTTAAAACTTTCGTGACTGCAGGGATTCATCTTCTTGGTTCTTTCGGTAAAGTCACGTAGAAGGGAAGTAATAAAATAATAAAAATAAAACATAATAAAATTATTCTCACGACGTTTCGGCCACAACGCAAGCAGCCGTCCTCAGGTGAAAACCAGGTCCGTCGAGGCGACAGAGTCTGAATGAAACAGCATATATATAAGCTGGGCACCTTGACAAAGGAATTTGCATATCAAGAGGAATTTAGCATATTTATGGGAAATGCAGGAATGTGATTAGTACTGCATATGCATGTGCATTATGCAGGATTAACAGCATCAAAGGGAGCTGCAGTTGCTGCTGCTGCTGCAGTTGCTGCTGCTGCAGTTGCTGCTGCTGCTGCTGCTGCAGTTGCTGCTGCTGCAGTTGCAGTTGCTGCCTTATCCATTTAAATATAACACTATGTATTATTCTACCCACCCTAATGTGTATCACACTGCTATATATTTACTATACAATTACGACACCATACATTACTCTGCACACTGCACCATGCCAGTGAGTAGAACGTTGTGGCCGAAACGTCGTGAGAATAACTTGCGTTGTGGACGAAACGTCGTGAGAATAATTTTATTATGTTTTATTTTTATTATTTTATTACTTCCCTTCTACGTGACTTTACCGAAAGAACCAAGAAGAAGATTCCACTAGGTGGCGATAAATTATATTGTTGGATGAAACGTGCTTACGTATGATGACGTTAGCACGTGTGATGACGTAAGCACGTATGATGACGTAAGCACGTTAGGGCTTGCCCTCCCGGAAGCCATAGAGAATGCATTGGAGCGCCCGCCGTTCGAAAAAAACATCTTTGAATGTAAGTCTATGGGGCCACTCGGGGCGATTCTCAGCCGGAGTGAAATCGCCCAAAAAGAGGCGGTTATCCACAGAACGTGACATGACGCTGATTGGACTATATCCAGAGGCTGACAGTGACGGCTAGCGTGACTCTGTGGTTCAATGACATTGGTGGTGCGTCGCCCAATCGCCCTAATGAAGAAACCGCCCCTGGCGTAACCCCTCCACAGGCCGTGGCGGAGTAGCGCAGTTGGTAGCGCCCTCGCTTCCCATGCCAAAGGTCTCGGGATCGATCCCCGCGTCCTCCACAGGCGAATATATTTTTAAATCCTTTATATTAAGTTCGCTGCCACGCATATAAAGGATTTATAGTGAAAACTTTGTTTTTACGGGTTTACTTATTACCTTCTCTTGTTATCCACTCTATAATTAACATGTAAAATATATATAAATAATATGTATATATCTAGAATTGCAGCATATATATGAATGATATCTGTAGTTATGATTTTGAATTCGTGCACTGCTGTGACCACCCATGTGAATTGAGGGAAACGTTCACAGAAATGGGAAGACGTTGCAGCGTTCACAAAGACCACAATTTTCTTTCCGAGCCATCACATTTTGCCACGGTAATATTGGATACATAGATGGGATAACGTTTGCATGAGGTAGTAGACCATGCTCACCTCAGCGGTGTTTTCTAGTAAGGGGTGACAGTTAAACTATCAGGGGTCAGTCATAATATGGTCACTTGAGTAGTTTGTGAATGCATAAAGTTGGATGAAGGTTTGACGAGTCAAGATTGTTCAGAAATGTAAATATTTTGCCCGATCTTGGGTAAGCTCGTAGGCGTGTGTAAGCTTTGTTACCTTGATCTATTATATCCTTGACTCTTTGTTTCATGTCTCGATCCGTAAAAGGTGACCCCACGGAAACTTCTGTGGCCCAAATCCTACAGCGCACATCATAGGCTGCTTCATGGTGAAGGCCCAATTCGGATTGTTAAGCGGTAAGCAGACACTGATTTATAAAAAGGGCCATTTTTGAGTGTTGGGTTGTCTGAGTTACAGAAACACGGGCACTCAGAGGTTGTCTCTAGGTGACTTCGACTCTCAAAGAAGGCGCAGAGGCTCGTGTGCTGGTGATTGTTGCTATCATGCTTGCGAGTGGTATGTTTTATTTTTCTCTCTAGGTTAAACAACTTTCCGAATTAAACCATCATTCATTACCGTGAGAAGCAGCAGTATTATACTATATTAGCTTATATCACAACAACAAACCACGTTTATTTTAAATGGGCTTCATGCAAAATGTTTGGTGGGTGGTGGGGGGGTGTGCGATGAGCCTGATTACGTAAGTTCAATTTCTGCCCGTGGTTGAAACATCAGGGGTTAGTGACATCTGAATCAGTCCTCGGTCCCCTCTTCTTGCTGTGAGGCACAGATGTTGCCGCTGCACTGTAAAGCGGTGAAGTGAATTCATGATGTCAGGGAAATACATTTTAATAACGTGAAAAAGGTATCTCATGGCCAGATAAAGATGTCATGGACGTCTGCTTGCCCATATAAAAAGTTATGGAGCAAGCACAGAGACTAATAATGGCGATTACATGCCCAGAAACGATAACATCGAAGCTACGGTCGAGTCCATTCTTGAACGCATGCACCTAACTTTAACCCTATTGCTTACCCAAAACCTACCATATTAATAAAAAGTATGCGGCCCTTGCACCACCACCTTCTCCAACCATTATATAAACGGAATGTTAGCTTCCTGCAATCTCTCATTTACTTGATACAGCTGTCGTGGCTGTGACGGTTCCACCTGAAGACGGAAACTTGTGTTGCCTCCGAAACGTCGTGATTTTTATTTTATTTTACTTTTTAATGTTTTTACCTACGTGACTTTACCGAAAAAACCTAAAAATATGAATCATTGCAGTCACGAAAGCTTCAAATCTAGAACTGGGTTCTTTTGTTCGAGCATGAGTGTGAGCATAGGCTCAATGTGTTGTACTTCGTTGTAATCGATGCAACGATTTACAAGCAATTCCCTAATTGCCGCTTTTCCTTTCGGTTTTTTAGTTACTGCCTTCGGCGAGATTTGCTGCATGCATGCATGACGCGTCCATGATGTTATAATTTGATCCTGCCACAGAACCACCCTGCTAGGACTTTCAGGAGCGAGGAGCGTGCATTCGAGTTCTGTAATTTAACAGAGAATAAAACTTGTATTGTTAAGATACAGAGCCGAATGGACAATTCATGAACACTTTATATTACTAAAACTACACACTTCTCTGTTGCACATCGGTGACTGCAATGTGATCTATCCCTCTCGCCATTGCATTGAGAGGCATTTAAGGAGAAACGAATGAAAGGGATTAATTTAAACCTTTAATATGTATTGATTGTACAGCTTCTTATAAACCACCGCAAATGTCAGAATATTTTTAGAGCTGAAGATAAATTCACATATAGTTCCAATTTGGCAGGGTGGCGCCGTAATAACACCGATGCCTCACAGCAACATGCCCTTGGGTTCATTTCCCGACTCGGGCACCTTCCTGTATGGACTTTAAAATCAAGATTCCTGTATGGAGTTTGTATGTTTTCCTTCTGTGCTGCATGTGTTTCCTGGTTTCCGCTCTTAGCTAAAAAAAAAGCCATACAATGTTACTGGTATTGGCCAAACATACCAATACTGAACACTTATCTGAAGATTAGTCAATTTGGACTCTGCGTAGCATTGTAGCCATTACTGCGAAACGTTGGCAGAAACCCTCCTGAAAGAAATCTTGAGCCTTGGGTGACGCTTTGCTGGGAAAACAAATATGGTGATAATAACAATAATACAACTATTAAATTTGGACTTAAAACTTTCGTGACTGCAGGAATTCATATTCTTGGTTCTTTCGGTAAAGTCACGTAGATAGAAAACAAAAATCTAAATTGAAAGCAAGAAATCCACGATGTTTCGATCGCAACACAACTGCTCTTCTTCACTTCTCTCCACCCGATGAAGGCCGCTGGTGTTGCGATCGAAACGTCGTGGGTTTTTTGCTTTTCATTTAGATTTTTGTTTTCTATCTACGTGACTTCACCGAAAGAACCAAGAATAATAATAAACCAATTAATTCCATGTAAAGTCTCCACAAGTATCATTTTTTTATTAACAGTGGTGAGAACGTAGCCTGGCACCACAATATGATAGAAAATAATGCTTCAGGGCCCCATTTTAATAACCAAAAGATTATCTTTGTCCAATGCTACATTTTTACTAAATCTGAGGACATATGACTTCTACATTACAAAAAATATGATTATATGAAGGTTGCCACATCATTTATAGGCAGAGTAATATGCAATGCATGATTTTTATGAACTTGGTAACCTTCCCCCAATTGCAATGCTAATTATTTCATAATTTACAGTTGGGGCATTCATTGCATCTTCACTAGAAATTTAAATCCATTGCTCAAAAACAGTCAAACAATTTTTACAAAACTACTTCTATGTTAATAAATTGCATTTATTCCCCCTTTTCAACGTAACACTTTGATATAAACAAATAAAATAGGCTGGTATCAGTTTTCGTATAACTCCTGCACTAGTTAGTAGGCGATACCCATTGCAGTGGTAAAGGTGCAACCCTGCGATTGTTTATATTTACCACCGCTAGTGAAGGACCTCCCCTGGAGGGTGCTCTAGAGAGCCCTTCTAGAGGGTACTTGGCCTACTCTTCCACGCTGGTCAGGCACCTTATACGAGAGCGTGTAAATCCACACTTTACCCCACTTTATGCGGATCTGCCAATCGACTAAATTCTGTGTACCCATTTATACTGCCCGGTGGGGACAGAAACGGTGGGAGGATTTAAGAAATGTACCCAATGTTTCCACTGCAGTGGAATTGTCTGGTAATGGGTGAAAGACAATCTGGGGGGGGGGGGGGGTCAGCAAAAAAAGTATCATTTAAATACATTAGTATGTACTTGAATGATCAAAGTTGGATGAGGCTGTGATTAGTAAATAATATTCATGTATAATCAAACATGCATTGTCCTATCTAAGCTCATAAGTGTGTGCAAATATTGTAACCTCCATCGATATCTTTCAACTTTTGTTTGTTGCCCTGTTCAGGACAAAGTGACCGACGGAAACTTTCGTGGCCCTAATTCCACGGAGCAAACGGCTGCTTCAAGGTACAAAAACCCCCACAAATCTGATTGGTCAGGACGTGGGCAGGCAACGAGATAAAAAGGGGTATTTTGGAGTGTGGGACAGCATTGACCAGGTTGACATCAACGCTGAAGACGTTTCGATGGCTCGTATGCTGGCGATTGCTGCTATTGCGCTTGCAAGTGGTGAGTTGCATATTTCTACTTCAGGTTCAATCAACTGGTAATACATACACCGTAAACATCGGTTAGAGCACCACCAAACACTACTGGCAGCATCATCAGCACTATACTAACCTGAAACACATTAAAGACATGATTGCAATTCTGATGGGTTTTCTGGCTGCATAGTATTTTGTTCAGTATGATGCCCGACGTTTCACTTCACACGCAGGGAGCTTCTTCAGGAACTCAATTCAGTGGAGCGAAACGTCGGACATTACGCCGAACAACACGCGGTACAATACAAAAGCCTATCAAAGAGCTAAACAGCAATTTGAAAAAACCTAAGCAATAGTAAATACATTAAATTCATCAAGACAGTGAAAGCATTAATATCACCGACAAATTGATTAAAACCACCTACTGCAATGTCCATTGAACATTTGCTACATTCGTGTTCACTATTTCATGACGATAGGTAAATAAAACTTGTTAAACTCATGGAAAAAATGAAAGCCATTGTTTCGAGCAATGCCGTTTTCACAATATCACGTGGAAGCAAACACGCATTTAACACGTTGCTCCGGTTCATTGGTACGTCTGTGTGCTCACATGTCGTGTTTCGCAGTGTATCTTGCAAGTGGACAGGAGGTCGACAATCATAAGCATAAGCGATCCAGCTGGAACTTTGCTTGGATGATCTACCGTGTCACGGGAAGAAATCCACTCGATTACAGTGGCTACGGCTGTCACTGTATTTTGGGAAGTGAAGGACACCCAGTCGATGCTGTGGACAAGTGAGTGTGTGCATTGTGTATTTTCCCCATGTGTCTTTTCCCATTTCCAGCCTAACCAGTCATCCAGCAGGTAGCCTTGAACGTTAATGCAGGCACCAAACACAGTAGGGCTTTGACTTTGGCCCAAGGAATTCCATCCAAACAGGTCGTGCAATTTGAGTAAAATTAGTTGAAATTTTCTTGGTGGAGGAACACAAGAGCTGTGTTTATATATATTCCAACCTGAGCATTCCACGTATAGTTAGGAATTAGGTGGGTTGAGTTATTCAAGAAAATTTTCCACAATAAATAATTGTGGGATAGATATTAGGCATGTAATTAATAACAAAAAACTACATTTGTATCCCATCAGGTATAATGAAATAGCGACATAAAATCTGTCGCTATTTCATTATACCTGATGATGATTGCTTGTGTTGCAATCGAAACGTCGTATGCTATTATTAAATTTAATTTATTATTTTATCTTTAGACGTGACTTAACCGAAAGAACCAAATAATCATTTACTGCAGTCACGAAAGTTCTAAAATTAAGATTTGTATCCCAATTCCCGTGTTTAGCTTACACCGTACATTTCGACCCCCAAATCATCCTTCGTGCATCGAAACTCATCAGATCTGAGTAGCTAAGCAGGCTTGGGCCTTGTTAGTACATGGTTGAGTGACCAGCAGGGATTGTCAGACGTTTGTAGGCTTGGGGCTTACAAGGTGCCTAGAAGATGGCAGGGTTGAATGTCACCACCTCTTGTGATTTGTTGGTTTTCTGTGGGTATTTCTGGTTTCCTCCCACGTGCAAAACACTCGCCAATGTAACTGGCCAAACACCTCTCTCGGAAAAGAGTCTTGAGAAACAGTGAGGCTTTCCTAAGTAAATAATCATCATCAACTAACATAAAAATAATTAACGCCAGATTTGAAGCTTTCGTGACTGCAATGATTCATATTCTTAGGTTTTTTCGGTAAAGTCACGTAGGTAAAAACATTAAAAAGTAAAATAAAATAAAAATCACGACGTTTCGGAGGCAACACAAGCTTCCGTCTTCAGGTGGTACCGTCACAGCCACGACGGCTGTATCAAGTAAATGAGAGATTGCAGGAGCTACTACCACCTTCTCCGACCATTATATAAACGGAGTGGTAGCTCCTACAATCTCTCATTTACTTGATACAGCCGTCGTGGCTGTGACGGTACCACCTGAAGACGGAAGCTTGTGTTGCCTCCGAAACGTCGTGATTTTTATTTTATTTTACTTTTTAATGTTTTTACCTACGTGACTTTACCGAAAAAACCTAAGAATAATAATTAACGCCCACAATAATACACTTAATTTGTTTCGACGTATCAGGTTTAGACTACATTGTTCGAATAATTGCAAAGCAAAACTGAGCATTAGTAACTCTGGCCGATGGCTGTCCGTACACAGGTGCTGTCAAGTTCACAACCGATGCTATGACGCCGCATTCAGTATGGGGTGCGCACCGCATTTGGATTCTTATGAATTCAGCACTCGAGGAAAAGCCATAACCTGCAGTAAGTGACGGCCAAGCATTCTGTCTTTACACACATTTATCATACAACACATTTCATAACGATGGCTATTGTGCCGGTGTTCAGCACACATCCATCACTCGACACAATCATCAGTGATACTGCCCAAAATGAAGAAATCATTAACAGGTAATAGTTCAGCCATAGCATATCAGGGCCATTGCCTGACATGTCGCCTATTATATAAAAATGACAGCTTTTATAGCGCCGTTCACAAGATCTCAAGGCGCTACATATCGATGGCAATGGGGGGGGGGGGGGGGGTGTAAGGTGTGTCTAAGTTACGTAGAAAATGGAAGCGTTCTTGACGGACGTGTTGAGTTTTTTTGGTAATTTGTGAGCCACTGTCAAAGCAGCATCACACACACACACAAATCGAATTTAACATTATTTTGACATTTACATGTGGTTAAAGCCGAATGTTAATTCTGTCAATAATGGTAACGCATGTCTTGTTTCGTTCCCATATTATAGGGAAGCAGGGATCACCATGCGAAACACTGGCATGCTCCTGTGACAAAGCTGCCGTGGAGTGTTTCGCAATTCACGACTTTGACGACAATTTCCAGAATTTCAAGAGAAACGGAGTTTGTGACAATTAGAAAACAGCCGTTTTATGAGGAGGGAATAAAGACACAACATTCGCATTTTAAAGCACCTACGTTTACGTATGATCGGTGATAACCCGCAAAATAATATGATTTACGATAAACCAAACGTTGGATGTAAAATATGCCATTAAATTCGTTATTTAAATTATAAAACATGTTAACCAATTTTGTTTACTTAAAAATTAGGATTCAACCCATACAGACATGAAATTATGGATCAAAATATCCTTTGAGCTATACCGATCGCATCCTTAGGCTGTCATTCAGTTTCATGACTTAATTAATTAGTTGTCTAATTAAGTTAATCGTGAAGATCATATGTGACTGCAGGTTGTGCTATTATTGGTGAAAATACTGTATAACTATGGTGCAGGACTGCAGTTGTGCTTTAGTGGTGAAATATAATTCCTGATGACTTGTGCTGAAGTGCATCAAATGAAACAAAAAAAATGTAATTTGAAAAACAATTCTATTGATAATGCGAACTAAGATGATTACAACTGGTTGTGGTGTTTGCACTATATATAATAAAGTGTTCAATGGATGTTCAAGTATCACTCTTTCTATTTGATATGGATTTGAATTGAGTAGCAATTTCATATAAATCACTGGAGTGATATGACCTTGCCGATGACCAAATCACCAAAAATGGATGATAATCAGGATTGAGCCCACTAAATATTAAAAACTATTTAAAATTTAGTTTTAATCAGGTAAGATCCACTAAAATATGCTAGCTCTTTTTGAGAAGTGACCTAGCCACAAATGATTGCCCAACAAAGTGGCTTATCACGTGGAAATGTGTAGCGGCCAAATACTTTAAACGCACGCTGTTTCTAAATGTAGAGGGGAAAAAAACCAGGGGACTCGGAGAAAAATCCACACGACCACGAGGGGAAACCATCCAAACTCCAAATATCCAGCAGGCGTCAGGGTCGGGATCGAACCCACGAACCTCCTGTATACCACGCGACGCAGTTAACGTCCCGCTACCGTGGCACCCTTGGATGGATGGCCACCAGGGCTTACCAGGGGTTGGTAAGGAAATGGCAGCGTTGAGTATTGCACCCTAATTTCCAGGGACTATCTCCGGGTTTATTTCCATATAAAAAAAAACACTCATCAATGCAGGGCCCTGCATTGTGATGCTTTTGCAGACAATTAATTAGCATTACAATTATTATCATGGGACTTTTTCGTGTGCCAGTGTCAATGTATGTAAAATAAGAATAGGTTTTATCCTTTCTGGCAATAAAACAGGTGTTAATATTTTCAAACGCCAAACTTGTGCAAGGAATAAAGTCTGCATTAACCACGCATACTTTGTGGTGAACATGCAAAACAAACATGCTCTAATAATATATGCATTGCCTTTGAAACTGATTGGCCTACACCAGACAGCCTTCTCTATGGCCTCGTCTCACCAGTGTCAGACCACAGAACGCCAAAAGCGAAGAGCACACAGACAAGGCACTATCATAGCACCTATAGCACCTATAGCATTACAATTATTGCTCATGAACATGTGAACGAAAATGTTCAAATATCACGTGTTATACGGTATTCATAGTGCGTTTGTGTTCGCGCTGCCAAAACTGATAGACATCATCAAAATGGATGTCATGTGAAGTGGAAGAAAGACACCGACGTAACAATGCCACCTGGAATGAGCTCCTATTTATTTAGCATCTCTTTTTAGCAATTAAAGATTCAAGTTGACGTAAAAAATTTAACATTCCTTTATGATGTCTGCATTAAAGTTTTTTGGATGTATGACTGAAGCCTGCTTTTCATTTCATGTTTCATAAAACGTGATATAGTATTTAATTAAAGGTCCCGGGATACAGCACACACTCACGCTCACTCTCATGGTACATTAACATTTGCTGAAACCAGTATATTAATGATGTCGCAATGTCACTTCTGAATGACTTTGGACAGAACATTATCAAATGAGATAACATATTTCAGAATATTTCAGGTCGTATTTGTTAATGGCCTTGGCGGGAGTTCGTGCTGTTTTCAATCAACAATAGGCTTTATTAAGGAGGGTCATGATTGAATGGGATGTTTGTTTGGCTTTTTTTTTTCTTATTAATTCCAGGTCTTATAACGCATATTCTATACGCATACAAATACCGTACAGAAATTATGGCAGTTACGCCTCTTATCTGCGTGGTTTGGTGGTGGATTGGATCTGACCCCTGAATTGAAGTCATTTATCCACAACCCCGCAAGGTCACCATACACACAGGAACGCATACAGCTAGACTCCACTAAACCATGGGGATGTTGAAGGTGATGGTGCGGGGGGACATCTCAAGTCAGTCAACTCATGGCACCACCTGGATCTGTCCCGTGACCTCCTGCCAGCCGGCGTTCGACACTTCACGTGACCTTAAAGTGCACATAGCCTGGCACAAAGCACCATGGTGACGGCACCGCCACTTAGTGGTGAATGGCGGTTGTTGTTGGGGGTGCTACTCGCAGATGCTGAAATCTGCACTGGTAAAGTTCACGCTGGGGCGGTCTGGCCTGCGGATTTTAGTAGCTTATTTTTAGCTGAGAAATTTAGTTAATGGATGTGGAAAAAACGCGAATTACCGGAGAAAGGCACATGACTATAGACTGGAAATAAAATAAAAACTTACCACATCACTATGGCACAGTTTTATTGTCTTAAAGAAAACAATCCTTCTAAAATTCAGTTTAACACGTCGGCTTACTCAGATTGTAAATGTTATGTCTTTCCTCTCCAATACTCCCATGTGTGTACTAGTAACGAATTGGCACATTCTGTTTACGTGTTGGGTGGTGGCGAGTTTAACAACACATTTATATATTTACGCGATCTAACCCAAAAAAACCCTGTATTATGGCTTTCTAAAACTACTAAAACTAATAATCTGTTTTAATTTTACCAGATATGGCCCACTAAGTTATATAGCTCTTATTCAGAAGCTACCTGACCATAAATGACAGCTCAACGAAGTGGCTTATCATGTGGAAATTTATAACAACCAAATACTCGAAACGCATATTTCTAAATGTGCAAAGGAAAAAGCAGGTGACCACGGAGAGAACATGCAAACTATAAATACTGTATACAGCAGGCGTCAGGGTCGGGATGGAACCCACGACCTCCTGTAAACCAGGCGAGGTAGTTAACATCTCGCCACCGTGGCGCCCCAATTAAGATTAAAACATTCCCAAAGCCTTAGAAAGCCACCACATCTCGCCAATGCTTTCTACCCTCCGTCATCAGTGTAATGTGCCGGGGTAGCAAGATCCACTCGGACGATGTTGCCACATCATCGTGCTGATGCAAGAAGCACCAGTCTGCCTAGCAACTTCAGAATTCATTATTCTCTCAAACTACCTAACGTGTATACCCTTTTGGACCCATGCGCTTAACGTTCGTAACCCTAAACCGAATCCACACAAATTGTGGCTGATGTGGATAATTTGATGCATAAAGGGAAGAAAAAAACATCTCCAGTGTGCAACTGTGGTCACCCAAAACAGACCGCGGAACACATAACGACTCAATGCCCAAATGACAAACATTAAGGAGGCATCCTCAAAGGGATAAACTTCACTACTCCTGACTCAATGATCTGACTCAAGCACCTTCGTGTAAATTTTGACTTAAGACTTTCGTGACTGCAGGAATTCATATTGTTGGTTCTTTCGGTAAAGTAACGTAGATATAAAAAAATATATATTTAAAAAATTACGACGTTTCGATCGCTTGTGTTGTGATCCACACGTCGTAATTTTTATTTTATTTACTTAAAAAAAAAATTCTATCTACGTGACTTTACCGAAAGAACCAAGAATACACCTTCATGTAATATTATAGTTGTTGCTCGACATCAACATCTATCTATCTTCTTCTTTTCTTCTCTATCTCTATATATATAAAAGTAAAAATTTGTCTGTCGGTTTGTGGCGGGGTTTGTGTGTGTGTTTGTGTGTGTTCGCGCGCTTGCCAAGGATTTTGCTCTCCAACCGTGGGGTTCACATGAAATACAAATCGCCAGGAAGCACGCCGTAAGCCCTGCAGTGAGCAAGCGCTATTCCTTTTTCACATCCGTCAACTTTAAATCAGTTTAATTAGAGATTTAGTGTGATTTTTGTGGGCTTTTGTGATGCCGCCGCCACGAAGCCGTTCGGCAGGCACCAAATCCCCGACCTCGCCACCACCAAGCAACGGAGCCGACCCCGCGTCCCCCTCACCTCACCTCACATGAACACACCCGCACTCATTTCCCCCCCCCCCATAGAGCTCCGAGGGGAGGTCGCCTGGCCGACCGGTTTTTATCCGAGAGACCCTTATCGGGATTAATTCTCACGGTTTCCGGCGATCAGGGAATTGGATGACCTCCCCCGTGCTACGTGGCACCGCGGCGCTGCGGCCGGCCTTAATATGGTGTGGTCGCGGCGTGGGGCATTCGGCCACCGCGGTTGAGGCGCATTTCCCCCCACACACACTCCCACGGGTCGACGGGGCGAGCAGGGGAGGCACGGGACAGCATGAATAGCGGGGTCACAGGGGCTGTTGCGCATAGTCATGGAGGGTTGGGATAATTGCGCTTGAGCGCGCAGGCCCCATTGTTAGGAAGGGTAAGGGAGTAATTAGGATGTACACCGCCAACGTCGCTCACTGATTAGCATATCAACAGCGCCTGGGGACTGCCGTGCGCGGGCTTGGGGTGCACGAGCCCATTGTTCAGCGCAGCATCCCCTTTGGAGGTAGGGAGGATAAATAGAGGAGCGCAGAGGGGAAATCGCTCTCTTACTCCAGCGCCAGGCGACCAGACGCAGCTCGAGCCAGCGACCCGGACGTCCGTGCGACGCACCGAGGCACGCGGTTAACACAAGGATCAGCGGACCGCCGTGGACACTTAACAGTGAGTAAGAAGGTGAATTAGAATCATAGCCGATAAATAGGGAATAGGTACAGGTTTAGTGGAATAGGCCAGCCTCGTCGACTCACTGATTCAACATCAATTCGCAGGTGGCATATAATAAATCATTAATAGCGAAGCGTGGTCTCGCGTGATCTTGTCGTGCAGTGTGAGCGTGTGGGTGCGCTGTGTGCACAGTGGTTCGCCACGTGAGTGAGCGCTGCGCGGAGCTGAGCGCGCGGGTTGCGTGTGGGAACGCGTGTGGTACTGTGTGTGCGTAAGCTCGCGGCGTGCTTAATAGGCGTACCCCAGGTGCGCGATCATAACGCAAGCGGCCAGCAGACGGCGAGCGCTGCGCAGAGCGGCGCAAGAGTGGGTGTCGCGTGTGTTCACTCCGTGTGTGATACAGGTGCGCGATCATAACTTGCGTAGTTGGTGTGGAGTTGGAGTGCACGGAGCGGCGTGTGTGTGTGTGCATACGTTCGTTACATGTCGGATACGGATGCGCATTGGTAACGTGCCGCACAGGGCTATACTGCGAGCACGGCGTTTGATTGACGATGATGTGCGCACGTATGCTCGCAGCGTGGGAGCGCGGCGCGAGGCTGTAACAGTAGGGGCGTCGCATTCGAATGCCGGCGAAACCGTAGCGAGTAATAGGGAGGTGGGGTAACGTAAACGGAATAGGGGATGCAGGCGGGAGGGACCCCGGGGGCCGACGGCCCCCACAAATTGGTGTCGGAAGCGG